TTAGTTATCTATTTTATATATAGTGGTGTGTATATGTCAATCCCAATCTCCCAATTTATCCCTCCCGTCTCCTTACCCCCTGGTAACCATAAGTTTGTTTTCTACATCTGTGACTCTATTTCTGTTTTGTAGATAAGTTCATTGGGAAAGGGTGATTTTTTTTTTTAAATCTTTATTTGAGTATAATTGCTTTACAGTGGTGTGTTAGTTTCTGCTGTATAACAAAGTGAATCAGCTGTACGTATACATATATCCCCATATCCCCTCCCTCTTGCGTCTCCCTCCCACCCTCCCTATCCCACCCCTCTAGGTGGGCACAAAGCACCGAGCTGATCTCCCTGTGCTATGCGGCTGCTTCCCACTAGCTATCTAGTTTACATTTGGTAGTGTATATATGTCCATGCCACTCTCTCACTTCGTCCCAGCTTACCCTTCCCCCTCCCCGTGTCCTCAAGTCCATTCTCTACATCTGCGTCTTTATTCCTGTCCTGCCCCTAGGTTCTTCAGAACATTTTTTTTTCTTTTTTTAGATCCCTATATATGTGTTAGCATGTGGTATTTGTTTTTCTCTTTCTGACTTACTTCACTCTGTATGACAGTCTCTAGGTCCATCCACCTCACTACAAATAACTCAGTTTTGTTCCTTTTTATGGCTGAGTAATATTCCATTGTGTATATGTGCCACATCTTCTTTATCCATTCATCTGTTGATGGACATTTAGGTTGCTTCCATGTCCTGGCTATTGTAAATAGAGCTGCAATGAACATTGTGGTTCATGACTCTTTTTGAATTATGGTTTTCTCAGGGTATATGCCCAGTAGTGGGATTGCTGGGTCACAAGATAATTCTATTTTTAGTTTTTTAAGGAACCTCCATACTGTTCTCCATAGTGGCTGTATCAATTTACATTCCCACCAACAGTTCAAAAGGGTTCCCTTTTCTCCACACCCTCTCCAGCATTTGTTGTTTGTAGATTTGGAAAGGGTGATTTTAAAGAGAAAGATACTTGTTGGCAGAAAGTAAAATAGAAAGAGAGTGCGTAGCCCTTGGTGGACCCAAGTCTGAACCTTACCAGGTTCTCCCTGGTCAGACATTCAGCCCAAGTGGCCCAGTGCCTGGTTCTACTAAAGATGGGTCTTCCTGTGCCATGGGTTCCAGTAAGCGACTCTGTTCCCACCCCACCCCCAAGCCCCCTGCCCCATCAGGGTCAAGGACATGCAGGTGCTGTCTTTATGACACAGCCATACAGACCAGAAACAGTCCCACCGTGCTGCTCCTAATTCCCTTAATTCTGGGGGGAAAGCGCTAGCTTCTCTCTTTTCTATAGAACAAATAGTTTGTGGACTTCTCTCAAGGCTTCTGCTTTTGCTTTGAGCCAGTACATTTTTCAACAAAATCTGCCTTTAACCTGGTCATGTGTTTCCCTGTATCTGAAGCTAGAGGATCTTCGCTACCCCTCAAATGCCTAACATCCTGTGCTTCCCAGAGACTTAGTTCCAAATACTTTTTATTTTGCTTCAGCTTTGAATTAAAAAAAAATCCAAGCTTAATTTTGATGTAAATATTTATTTCCCCATAGGTTTCAGAAGGTTTTATACCACATGCCTGAAACAACATGTTCAGTTTTTTAGGAATCTGTTTTGCAAACTGAATGTGACTCTCAGCAGTAGGTATAAGCCTGGAGAGTTATTTGTCTTTCTTAATAGTCAAGATCTGTCACCTCGTTTGTGTGTTTTGGATGACTGTACTGCCTGACTCAGAGCTGGACAGTTGCCTGAAAACTTCTGGGAACAAGGTGAAGATAGAAATAAAGAAAAGTTTCATCTTCTGGGTGAATGAAGAGAGAGACTCAAATATACTAGAGAATCAAATTTTTACTCCTTTTAAATGCCTGAAGATTTATCTCTGGAGCTATCGTTTACTTACTTATTTACTCTCAAGAAACTTTCAGGTGTTCAGGGGAAAATGTGTGTATGTGTATGTGTGTGTGTGTGTGTGTGTGTGTGTGTGTGTGTGTGTGTGTGTGGCCCAGGTGGGGCTGGGATCCAGGCAGGGGGTTGGGAGGCGCAAGCCCCACTTCTTGAACCTATGGGGAAATTACTATTTACATCAAACTTAAGCTTGGAAATTTTTTTAAATTCAAAGCTGAAGCAAAGTAAAAAGCATTTGGAACTAAGTTTCTGGGAAGCACAGGGATGGGGGATAACGAGGGGGTCCGGGGCCCAGAGAGAGAGAGAGAAACAGACAGACAGAAAGAAAGAAACAGAGAGAGAAAATGAGAATAAAGCAAAATGTTAAAAATTGGTGAACCGAGGTAAGACACATACTCGTGTTATTATACTATTCCTGCAACCTTTTAGTCTGTTGGAATTGTTCAGAATTAAACTAAAAGGTGAAGTAAACACCTACACACACTTAGGCTCCATGTGCCACCCTTAAGCAGGAGGCATACCCAGGGTCACAGGCAGGTACTGTCACCTGGGCCTTAGCGAGGGCCCAGGGGGATGCTGCTCAGGTGCCCTCCCCCTCCCCCTCCCCCCTCCCCCTGCCACTGGCGCCCCTGGCTCAGCCTGGGCCATCAGCGGTTTCCACCTTACTGCATTATTTTTCTTTTCTTCAATTCTTCACACATTTTTTGGGTCATTTTCTTATGCCTGGCCCTGCTTCGCCTCCTATTCTTCTGTGCGTTTACACTGAGTACTGGGAAACAGGGTTATATGACAAAGGAAAGAATAAAGCCAGAATTGTAACTCAAAATACTTGGAACGAGCTACCTTTAAAACTTCTTTCTTCCAGTAAGAAGGTCACCTCAGATTCAAGCAGAAATGTCAAATCGCCTGTCATTTAAAGACACGTTTAAAGAAAATAGGGCAGGAAAATAGCATTTTGCTTGCAAACTTCTGCAAAACGCACTTTTCCCTCTGGGCCTGCAAAGACCGACCGTCTCCCTCACTATGGCAGTTCTGGGTCCGGCCCGCTGCTGAGGTTTCAGTTGTTGAAAACGATCGCTGCTATGTGCTTGTGGGTCAGTCCTCTGAAGCCACTTCCTGGACAGGTCGCAGCAAAGCAGCCATTGTGCAAAGTTCCCAGAGAAGAACGGAGAAAACTGCCTTGGCCGGGGATCCGGGGGGTGGGGGTGTTGGGAAGCCCAGGCGGGGCTTGGGGGTCCAGGCGGGGGTGTTGGGAAGCCCAGGTGGGACTTGAGGGTCCAGGCGGGGCTGGGGGTCCAGGTGGGACTTGGGGGTCCAGGCCAGGGGGTTGGGAAGCCCAGGTGGGGCTTGTGGGTCCAGACCGGGGTGTTGGGAAGCCCAAGCGGGGCTGGGGGTCCAGGTGAGACTTGTGGGCGGGGGTCCAGGACGCAGCTCTGAGCCCCTGCCTTCTGATGGTTCCCCATTGATAGGGAGGGGTGTTTCTAGAGTGCAAGGGTTACTTCCTCTGTCTGCCAACCCTGCTCTGGCCAGTTAAGAGCCATCTGGTTTTACCAGGAGACATTCAGAACTGCATCTGTGCCAGGAACAGGGAAAATGTCAGACTCCTTCAAGGATATGGGGAGGAGGTACAGGTAAGGATGTTTTTTCTGGATTCACTCATCACTCCCAAGTGCCTGGTAGACTTTCAGTCGTACACGTTCCCTGGTAACTTCTGGAACTGGGCACTGTGTAGTCCACAAAGGCTGTGAATAAGACCCAGCCTCTGTCCTCAAGGCCGTCCCCACCCGTGGGAGCCAGACAAGTTACAGGTGTGCTGGATGGCCTGATTGCTCCCACTTCATTCCCCTCCTGGTGTAACTTTGCAGCTCCTCCCACTACAGGTGGGGGTATTTCCTGGTCCCACAGATGGCACTTTGGCCACATGTCTTGCTTTGGCCAACGGAATGTGGGCCAGAAAGAGTGAGCTAGTTCTGAGCAAGCACGGCCTCGAGTGCTTTCGCCCACATCGTTTGAGTTTCGCCATCACATGAGAAGATCATCTCCCAGGAAGTCACTGTTCCAAGGAGGGTGAGACATCCATGGCGCTGACTTGGGTCCCACCTGCAGCTTGGAGCCGAGACTAACCCAGCGTAATCTAGGTCAGCCAAGCTCCATCTGACACACAGACCTGTGAGCAACAACAAATGGCTGGTGTCGTATAGCATTCGGTTCGGGGCTGGCTTGTTAGCAGTATTGTTGTGACAGCAGCTGGCGATACAACAGGCGACTGCGATGAAGCGTGAGAGGGACCACGGGGAGATGCAGAGGGACCACATCTGATACTCCAGCCTTGGGGAGGTTGGTAGGGAGGAACGCTTCGTGAGCTTGTATAAATTATTCACTTTTTGGCCCTCATTTTGCTTTTTCCTCGGGGATGCTCTAGATCAGAGGTTCTGCTGAATCCCTCAGCGCACGTCAGAATTGTATGTAAAATAAGTTAATCCATAAAGACTCTAGGAAGAGTTCTCTGACCAGTAAAATATAGGGAACTTTCGACTTCTGGCGATTCGTTCACTCATCCCTTCACTCAACGAATAGGAGTTAGGGAAACAGCGGTGAATAAAATAAAGTAGGGTCCTGAGCACGTGGAGCTTACATGCTGGAGAGAAGAGACATGGTTAATGATAAACGCCATAGACAGCAACAGAGCAGGAAAGGAAATAGAGCACTGGGGCAGAAGGTGGTGCAACTTTACAGGAAGGTCAGGGAAGACCTCACCAAGGGTGATGCCTGAGCCCAGACCCTAGCAGTGGCCTTAGGTGACGAAAGAGCCTATCAGGCCAAGGGGTAGGAAGTGCTAAGGCACGCTTCAGGAGAGAGAAACATGTAAGAGACAGGCCCCTATTCCAGTGAAAGTTGCTGTAGAGGAATAAATTCAAAAATTTGAGTTTTCTTGTTAAAAAATCTGGGCAAAAGGGTTTTGGTCACCAGGGGAAACCTCCAGAACCCATCCCAGGGACCATCCTCAAGGGGTTCTCTGTTTGGGCGTCAGTGGTTCTTGGTGACCCCTCCTCTGTGTCCTCCTCTAGGCTGTGGGGTGCTGGGCCTGCGGTCTCCACTTCCTGTGTCCTCCAGAAGTTCCCGGGAGTGATGTTCACCTGGTCCATGTGGATGCTGTGTGTCTCTGTCTTCACCATCCGGCCTGAGGAACACATGGGTAAGAAGTGACTCAGCTGGAGGGGACGTGCCCTCAGCTTCTCTGGGGAAAGGAGTTGCTTCTCTAGGGAGGTTCTGTTGTCCTCAAAAAGCAAGGTGTTGGTAGGTGACGGAGTCTTCCTCTTGCCCGTCTCCTCTGGTACACGAGCTTGCCCTGGGCATCAGTCATTCCTGCCAAAGGAGCAAACCGAAGAGACCCTGCTTTTGCCCTTGACAAAAGGTGCCTTTGGATTTTAACCGTACGACCTGCTGCAGCTAAGCTGAACTCAGTCAAGATCGACTTTGAATGATAAGACGTCAGCAAGTCAAAAATAAGGCCAAACTTTTTTTTGTCATCATGTGAACCTGACTTAACTTTTCCCACAAAATGTCGATGGGACTTGATAGTAGCCCTAACCTTGTTTTTGGGGGTTTTGAGATCTCTGTGAGAGGAGGGGTTCATGGGGCCCCCACGTTGTCCGGGGCATGTGGTTCCTCGGATGGACCCAAAGCCTGACTGGGTTCTTTGTCATTCAGTGGCTGCAGGAAGCTGCCAGTTTCATGGCAGGCATCCCAAAACCAGGCTCAAGGTAGAAGGGGAGCCTGTGGCCATGAGGTGCCCCCAGGTGCCATACTGGGACTCTGCTACCACCCACGTCAGTGTGACATGGCGTCGAAACAACTCCACCACGATGGTCCCAGGGGAGGAAGAGCTGCGGGTGTGGGTCCAGGACGGCGGCCTGTGGATTGTGCCAGCCTCGCGGGGGGACTCTGGCACCTACATCTGCACTGTCAGGTCAGCCCCTCTGGGATGAGGGTGGGAAGGGGGGCCCTTGCGGAATGGATGCTTGCATGGCGTTTCCGTGACAACCTGGATTTCAAAACCCAACGCACAGGTGGGAACCCACCTTGCGTCCGCTTCACTGTCATTGAAATACCTCCTACCTGAGAGCCTGTCCACAGATGTCCTCATGGCGCCCTCTCTCCCCTCACTTGAAGTCTCTGCTCAGGTGTCACCTCTATGGAGAGGACGTCCCTGGCCACGTTATCTAAAGCAGGACTCCTGTCACTCTCCCCTTACCCTGTGCTGATGTCCCCTCATCTGTCACACACATATGTGTTTTATGTACTTACGGCTTGTCTGCCCTGTTAGAGCGTAAACTCCAGGGGACAGGGACTTGGTTTGCAGGTGGTTTGTTTTGTTCACTGCTCAACCCACAAGGACCCAAGAAATAGATGTAGAGCACTGAGTAGAACTGGAGACCCAGGTGAGACTTTAGGAAGAAGTGAATCCAACTGGGTATTGCACACCTGGGGGAACCAAGCTCGCTTACAAAGAGGTGAGGCTGGAACCCACAGCTCCTGACCTGGGGCGTAGTCCCCTTCCTCATTGCCCTGTTGCTTTTTTTTTTCCCTTTAATTGTGATAACATAAGCATAACATAAAATTTACCATTTTAACCCTTTTTAAGCATACCATTCAGTTGTGTTAAGTACATCCACATGGTTTGTGTGACCATCACCACCATCCAGCTCCAGAACTCTTTTCATCTTCCCAAGCTGAAACTGTGTCCCCACTGAGCAACTCTTCAATTTCCCCTCCCCATCAGCTCCTGGCAGCCCCCATTCTACCTTTATTCTGTCTCGATGAATTTGACTATTCCAAGTACCTCATATTCCAAGTACCACAGTATTTGTCCTTTTGTAACCGGCTTATTTCACTCAGCACAATGTCTTCAAGGTTCATCCATGTTGTAGCAGGTGTCAAAATGTCCTCCCTTTTTAAGGCTGAATAATATTCCGTTATATGTACAGTTGACCCTTGAACAACACGGGGGTGAGGGGCCCCAACCCCTAAAGTCAACAGTCTGCGTATAACTTACAGTCACGGCCTTCAGTATCCACGGCTCCTCAGGACCCTCAGTTTTGTGTCCGTGGATCCACCCAACATGGATTGTGTGATACTGTAGTATTTGCTATTGAAAAAAATGTGTGTACAAGTGGACCCACACAGTTCAAACCTGTGTTGTTCAAGGGTCAACTGTACATACCATATTTTGTTTATCCATTTATCCATCAAGGGACACTTAGGCTGCTTCTGCCTTTCGGTTGTTGTGAATAATGCTGTTTGTACATGGCTGTACAAAAATTTGAGTCCCCGATTTCAATTCTTTTGAGTATATACCCAGAAATGGAATTGGTGGATCGTATGGTAATTCTATATTTAATTTTGAGGAACTTATATTGTTTTCCACAGTGGCCAGACCATTTTACATTCCCTCCAGCAATGTACAAGGGTTCCATCCTTACCAACACTTATTATTTTCTGTTCTTTAATAGCCATTCTGATGGGGGTGAAGTGGTATATCACCGTGATTTTTTTTTAACATCTTTATTGGAGTATAATTGCTTTACAATGTTGTGTTAGCTTCTGCTGTCTAACAAAGTGAATCAGCTATATGTATACATGTATCCCCACATCCCCTCCCTCTAGGTGGTCACAAAGCACCGAGCTGATCTCCCTGTGCTATGCGGCTGCTTCCCACTAGCTAGCTATTTTACATTTGGTAGTATCACTGTGATTTTGATTTGCATTTCCCTAATGATTAGTGACCTTGAGCATCTTTCCATGTGCTTTACTGGCCATCTGTGTATCTTCTTTGGAGAAGTGTGTATTCAAGTCGTTTGCCCACTTTAAAATCAAGTCGCTTGTTTATTTGTTTTTGAGTTGTAGGAATTCCTTATGTATTCTGGATATCAATGCCTTACCAGGTATATGACGTGCAAATATTTTCTTGCATTCCATGGGCTGCCTTTTCACTCTGCTGATAATGTCCTTTGATGGACAAAAGTTTTAAATGTTGATGAAGTTCAATTTATCTAATTTTTCTTTGGTTGCCTGCGCTTTTCATGTCATAGCCAAGAAATCATGTCTAATGCCATGAAGCTTTCCCTCTGTGTTTTCTTCTAAACATTTTTATAGTTTTGGCTCTTATGTTTTGGTCTTCGATCCATTTTGAGTTAAATTTCGTATATGGGTAAGTTCATGGGCCAACTTCATTCTTTTGCATGTGGCTAACCAGTTTTTCTAAGACCTTTTATTGAAAAGACTGTCCTTTCCCCATTGAATGGTCTAGGCATACCTTGCTGCTTCTTGAAGGAGAAAGTTGTAGGCCTAGTGTTGGCAGCCTTAAACATTTCCTGAGTTAGTTCTTTTTTTTTTTTTTTTTTTTTATGCGGTACGCGGGCCTCTCACTGCTGTGGCCTCTCCCGTTGAGGAGCACAGGCTCCGGACGCACAGGCTCAGTGGCCATGCCTCATGGGCCCAGCCGCTCCGCGGCATGTGGGATCTTCCCGGACTGGGGCACGAACCCGTGTCCCCTGCCTTGGCAGGCGGAATCTCAACCACTGCGCCACCAGGGAAGCCCGAATTAATTCTTCTGAAAAGATTAGGGCAGACCGTTGGTGTGACTGGGAAATACTCTTCTTGGCCTTGTTTCTTCAGCTGCTGCCTCTCTTCCACCCCAAGGCTCTAATCATCCTTACCAGCCAGCTTCAGAGTCTCCCCAGATTTCATAAATTCATTTGACTTAAGGAGAAACTGTGCCCATGAGTATTTACATTTAGAAAGACAGCCAAAGAAAGTGACATTCTCAGCACAAAGAAATTACTGGTGAATGGGAGAATTTCAGACAATATCAACCCCAGTCCTAGATGGTGTGTGTGTGTGTGTGTGTGTGTGTGTGTGTGTGTGTGTGTTTTCAGTCCTGTCAATGGAAGCAGGCAGACAATCTCATATTTTCATATCAGAGAAATGTGGATATCTGATTTTTTTAAAAAAAATATTTTATTAAATTTGATTTCATCTGTATTTTTCACTTTTTATTTTTTATTATTAAAGCAATTAATCAATATATTTATTTTTAGTTTTGGCTGTGTTGGGCCTTTGTTGCTGTGCAGGCTTTGCCTAGTTGTGGTGAGCAGGGGCTACTCTTCGTTGTGGTGCGTGGGCTTCTCATTGCAGTGGCTTCTCTTGTTGCAGAGCACGGGCTCTAGGTGCACGGGCTTCAGTAGTTGTGGCACGTGGGTCAGTAGTTGCGGCTCGTGAGCTCTAGAGCGCAGGCTCCGTAGTTTTGGCACATGGGCTTAGTTGCTCCACAACACGTGGAATCTTCCCAGACCAGGGCTTGAACCTGTGTCCCCTGCATTGGCAGGTGGACTTTTAACTACTGCGCCACCAGGGAAATCCCTGGATATCTGATTTTACAATAGCTATAAATGCATAATTTTTCTTTCTTTTTAGTGTCAAAAATTCTAACGTTTTTCTAAGGAACACTATGAGGAAAACTTAATAGCGTGGTAGAAATAGGATGGAATTTGGAGTCAGAATGATATGAATGTGAATCTTAGCCCTCATTTGCTACCTGGTAGGACCTTGGTCTTATTCTTTGATATTTATGGGCCTCAGTTTTCTCCTTTGTAAAGAGGTTTGTTGGGAGGGTTCTGTAAAATCACAGCATATGAACCATAGAGTATGGGGAGCACCATTGTAGGTGTCAATATGCACGTGGAAATGGCCTTTCTTTCCCCAAATGCAAGACTTATTTACTACTGAAGTGATAACATGCAAAAATTAGGGAGATGTGAGCTGAGTCATATTTGCCTTAAAGTTTGTTTTTATACGTGATTAAAAAATTTGTGCTTAATACCTTATTTTGTTTTGTATTCTTGTAGAAAAAAAGAGATCAGAGATTGAGAGGCCAGGGAAACCCGATGTGGGTTAATCTTTTGTAGCTCGTGGGAGAGTGCCCCTGGCTGACCTCTAAAACTCTCTTCCAGCTTCGGGATTGGGGTCTAATAGAGCAAGAATCACCAGCAGCTGCCATGATGCCCTTTGGCATTTACAGTCACAGGGCATAAAATGGCCCTGCTCCTGTGCTGTTTATAATTTTGTGACCTAGAGCCCACACAGCTGTTCTGTCCATCAGGGTGGGCAAGGTGATGCTGCTGGGCTACGCAGCCCCCCAAGTCTCAGTGCCAGGACCTGTAACCCCACCGTCTGCTCTGGATGGGGGACAGGACATATCTGGTGGATGGCACAAATGACAACCACCTCTTTGCCGTGGGGCTGCCACACTACGTGGGGAATATGAGTGGTGATCGATCAGATGATTTCCCCACCCATCTTTCTTTTGAGTTATTTCCACGGGGGGTCTGTTGCCCAAGGGGGATGACCAGATCAGTCATGCGAACGGGTTTGTAACTCTCAATGTGTCCCGTAAGCTTGGTGTCTGGATGTAATGCCCTGATTTACAGGTTTTCCCACAGCTCTACTGGCTTCTAACCTTGGTTTGACCTCTTAGAGGCTCTATAGCCTTAGGAATTCACTTACTTTCTGCATACCTAATTTTCCTCATCTAAAAGTGACACAGTAGTGTCACAGGGTTGGAGAATAAATGAAATGATGTATTGCAGAGCACAGAGCCTGGCATGCTCTCCTCCCCAGGAGCTGCTGGGAGGGCTATTTTCAGGTGTGCTCGGTTCTTCAGACTTGCCCTCATTAGCATTTCTTCGATTTGCAGTGAGATTATGCATTCTTCAAGGTGATAGCTGTCTGCATTTCTTCATGCATAAAATGTTTTTCATCTTTTTCCTTTCTTCAAAAAGATATGAAGTAGAAATTTGAATTAATTTCTTTTTGCTTTCGGGTAGTAAGCATTTATCACTTACTACCTTCACATATAATTTTCACATTTTGCTCCTTCTTTGGGTATAGAATTTTTTTACATTTTGCTGTACCCCTCCCTCCCAACCCCATAAAACACACATGCTCATTGTCTGTGTTGATGTCCAGTGTTTCTTAGGTAGGCCACCAGCAGCTTAGCTGAGCTAATTATATCTTTATGTTTTTCTACTTAAAAAAATTGTTTGAATTAATATCCTCTGTCCTTCCCTCCACATTGTGTATATTTCTGTCAATGTATTGCCTCTGTCCTTTCCCCAGTTCTAGGGTCTTGATAGAACGATGATACTGCGATTATAGTTAGACCCACCAAAAAAAAAAAATAAAAACCAAACAAACAAATTTACCAAGTTAATTTCCCCTGTGCAGTATTGCAAAAATCATTTCTAGATCTTATACAAAGAGCTCAGCAGTTTTCTGAAATTTGACTTCAGTTGATAAATGATTTCCAAGAGAAGTAAAGAGGATTTTCTTTATATGGAAACAGTGGCTCTTAGGAAACAGTATCTCCATCTAGATAAGGTTGCCTGGACCAGGAATTTGGAGCATACTGGGGCTGTGATCAAGAACCTCCCCCGGAACCTGGAAGGGTTTAGGCCCCTTTGAAGAGGACTTGAGGGTTTTTTACTGGCGCTCAATGGTCTTGAAATCAGGCTTGTGGAGGGTCCTTTTTGGAAACATGCAGAATATATCACCATTTTTATATGACAATTATGATTTTTTTTGTGTGTGCTCCAAAGATTCAAAAGGACAAGGGACAAAAGTATTGCAATACAAATGAGGAAAATACAGAATGCAGAATTTAATGAGATTGGGGAATTATTCTTAATCTCATTTAGTTTTATTTTCATTTTGCCTTGCCATTTATTATTCCTTTTTTTCCCTTTTAAATCAGAAATGCCTCTTACTGTGACGAAATGTCCGTTGAGCTCAGGGTTTTTGAGAAGACAGAAGCTTCCCTGCCTCTCATCTTCTACCCGCAAATTATAACCTTGTCAGCCTCTGGGTTATTAGTTTGTCCTGATCTGAGTGAATTCATCGGGAACAAAACTGACGTGAAGATTCGATGGTACAAGGTACATCTTTAAGAATTGCTGTTTAATGAAAAGGTGTTTGATGAGCCATAGGAAAGATATAAAATATTCATTTGAAGACAATATATTCACTTTTATATATCTGGTCTTTTAAACCAGTGATTTTAAAAAGGGCCATGATTAATATGCTCTATTAGTCTTGATAGGGCTTAGGTAAGTGTCCTCAGAGGGTGATTTGAAAAGACAGAGTGGAAATGAATGCAGAATAAATAACAACTGAAGAAAAGAGCTTTTCACTCTGTTGTTTGTCTATAGAAATTTTTAGAAAGAACTATTTAACAGCTTGATACACATATTGATAGGGTTTTTTTGTTTGTTTGTTTTTGTTTTTGCGGTACGCGGGCCTCTCACTGCCAGGGCCTCTCCCGTTGTGGAGCACAGGCTCCGGACGCGCAGGCCCAGCGGCCATGGCTCACGGGCCCAGCCGCTCCGTGGCACGTGGGATCTTCCCAGACCGGGACACGAACCCGCGCCCCCTGCATCGGCAGGCGGACTCTCAACCACTGCGCCACCAGGGAAGCCCTGATAGAGTTTTTTGAAAGCACATAAAAATCAACCTTTGAATTAAAGGAGTAAATATAAGCACAATTTCGTGTCCTGACTGGTTAAATAAATATCTACTATCATTGGCTCCCTTGTTTAGACCAGGTGTGGGCAAATGACAGCCAGGGCCAAAAATTGAGCTGCCACCCATTTTTGTATGTTCACCAGCTTAGTTTTCACTTGTTTAAATGGTTAAATAAAAAGAATAATATTTCATGACCCGTGAAAATGATATAAAACTCAAACCTCAGTGTCTATAAGTAATGTTTTGCTGGGACACGCTCATTTATTTCTGTGTTTTCGTGGGGCAACGGCAGAGTTGAATAGTTGAACAGAGGCCACGTGGACCGTAGGCCTAAAATATTTACTCTCTGGCCCTTTACAGAAAAAGTTGCCGATTCCTGATATACACCATAGATTGATACTGAAAAGTACAGTTATTTGTTTAAAAATGGATAGAAACTAACCCTTTAATCAAAAAATAGGTTGACCAGTTGACTGGTATTCTAACTACAAGATATCTCTAGGATGTCAATTTAATATTGGGAACTTTTAAATGATTTTCGGAGAAAGTGAACAGCCAGCTCCTAGGAGTTCACCTGCCCAATTATGGAGCTCTTGGTTTTGTAAGAGCATAAAAAGGTCAAGTGAGGGGTTTTACCGTAGAGGAAAGCGCAGGTTCTGGGGTTGAGCAGTCTGGATTGGAAACCCTGCTTCTCCACTAACCTTTTGTATAGCCTTGGTCAGTTATTTTACCTCTTAAACCTGTTCCCTCTGCAAGACGGCAGTTCGTCACTCCCACTGCCTGAGATTGTTTTGAGATTAAATGGAGCACAGTGTGGGAAGCACCTCGTGCAGTGCTTGATTTGTATATGGTCCTCAATAAATTCGGGTGGACAAGGGTATTATGGTGGCGCTTAATAATAATATTTTTCCCGTCCTAAGAATGCTAATCATTACTGAGCACGTTCTGTGTACAAGTCTGTTCTAAACTCCCTGACATGAACCCAGTGCAGTAGGGGTTGTTAATATCTCCATTTTACAGATTAGGAAACAGAGACCGGAAATGTAAGGAATGTGCTGACATGCAGCTGGTAGAGGGTGAAGCCAAACCTCTGACCCCGGAGGCCAGAACCCACACATCCCTGCCACACGGGGGAGACCTGGGGGCTCGTAGGCCCTGGAATAATTGTGCTACCGGGCCCTGTTTGGCTTTTTTCATATTTGATCACTCATGTTGGGAACAATGAAATCTCTTTCTTTAATTAAATACATTGTACAATTAGACTTCATGAGCTATGTGGTTGACAAACTATTCCAGTTATGCCTGGGTTCTCATTCAGAAAAGGTCTCAAGGTTATTATATATGACTATTGCAATCATTTTTTTAAAGGCATTTCTTTTTTAAAAAATTAATTTATTTATTCATTTTTTGGCTGTGTTGGGTCCTCATTGCTGTGCACGGGCTTTCTCTAGTTGCGGCGAGCAGGGGCTACTCTTCATTGCAGTGCTCGGGCTTCTCATTGTGGTGGCTTCTCTTGTTGCGGAGCATGGGAGCTAGGTGCGTGGGCCTCAGAAGTTGTGGCACACAGGCCCAGCTGCTCCGTGGCGTGTGGGATCTTCCCAGACCAGGGATCGAACCTGTGTGCCCTGCATTGGCAGGCGGACTCGCAATCACTGCACCATTAGGGAAGCCTCGCAATCATCATGGTTTTGAAAGAGATGTTCCTGAGAACATTTTGTGCTCATGAGGGTGTGTTCTCTGTTACTGGAGACTTCCCTCTTGAGGGTCTGCTCTGTAGAATGCACAGTACATTTTGTCCATACGGGAAGTGTGGCCTCATGTCTCACATTTATTTTTTATTATTATTTTTTTAAAATAAATTTAGTTGTTTTTGGCTACATTGGTTCCTTGTTGCTGTGCTCAGGCTTTCTCTAGTTGCGGCGAGCAGGGGCTACTCTTCGTTGCGGTGTGTGGGCTTCTCATTGTGGTGGCTTCTCTTGTTGCGGAGCATGGGCTCTAGGCGCGTGGGCTTCAGTAGTTGTGGCACGTGGGCTCAGTAGTTGTGGCTCATGGGCTCTAGAGCACAGGCTCAGTAGTTGTGGCGCACGGGCTTAGTTGCTTCATGGCATGTGGGATCTTCCCAGACCAGGACTCAAACCTGTGTCCCCTGCATTGGCAGGTGGATTCCTAACCACTGCACCACCAGGGAAGCCCCACATTTATTTTTGTCTCACAAATTTTTCTCTGTCTCTACTGACTCCTAAAATTGAGATGATGTTTAAAGTGATTACTGCAATATCAACTCTTCTGAGCCTTGTTCTCCAAGTTGCCATGACTACGTCATAACACCCCTTCTGGATGTTTCCCAAGCAATCTTTTCTGGATGTTTCTCATAGCACTCCTTTCTGGATGTTTCTATAGGCAGCTGTTATGCCATAAATATATTTATATTTTAATCGCCTACTTTGTCAAAGAAGATAGTTTCTTTTTTTCCCATTGTGCCAAAGAAAATGTGCTTTAAACGTTCTGGTTAAACAAACCCAGCCATCCCGTGTTATATGCGAACAAACTCCCCCTCCTAAAAATACAGTTAAAAGCATGTCCCAAAGGACAATATTTGCAAAGTAAATATCAGAGCGGTTCTTGGATTGCAGATTCAACAGTGACGGATAATACCAATGCTGTCCATAGTTTTTGAGATGTCAATTAAGATATAGCGTAACTTTGAAAAACATTTTCTCTTAAGGATTCTGTCCCTTTGGATCAAGACAACGAGAAATTTCTAAGTGTGAGGGGAACTCGCTTACTGGTAAACAATGTGTCTCTGGAGGACGCGGGCTATTATCAGTGTGCCATGACGTTTGCCCACAGAGGCAGGCAATACAACATCACCAGGAATATCAAACTCCGTGTTAAGAGTGAGTACTTGCCATCAAGGTACCTCTGCACCCTGGTTCAGCAGCAAGCATGCAAGGAAAAAATTAGGGTTCCTGTAGAATTCTTTGAGTGTCTTTGGTATGAAAGGAAAACAGATATGGCAACTCTCTAAGCATCAGGCTTCTAAGATGTGTAGGACACTTGGAAAGAGAGGAAGCAGGGTGTTTTTATGAGGAATGGTGAATCCCTGGGTAGTTGACAGGGTTCCGAGTCTGAGGCTAAAACATGTACCACTAGAGGGAGCCAAACAGTGGTTCTCTTGGAAGGTCTCTTTGCAAGGTCCCCTTGGAAGGCCTGCACCTCCAGGGCCAGCTATCAGGACACGGTTGCCGTAACTTTGTGTATAATTCTAGGATACTAGGATTTTATTGGATTTTTCAGTGAGAAGGCTATGCGTTGGCATATGTGGTGAAAATTGCCCTTTTCTGGTCTTTCCCAAGCAGGTCTAGTTACCCTTGAAACCAGGATTTTAAATAGTGAGGGATCTCATTGGTTTAAATGAGCTCTACCTGAAAATAATGTCGTGAACAGCACTGATTAGCATGTCAAGTTTATCCACTGTTTCCTCCATGCCTCCTACGTGTGGGACATCAAGCTTGGTGCAAAGGGCACACAAGTGATGCAGTTCTAGCCCCTGCCCTGGAAACTATGGTGCTTTTCTTTGTTTTATACACTGAGTAACTACACAACTGGAGTCTTTTAAGGACGTTTCAGAGAGCATTGGAGCTACATTAAGGTTACGTAATTGGTCTGTGAGGGGAAAGACTTTTTTCTCCCAGAGAATCCAGAGATTCAGTTTTACTACAGGGAAAATCGTGTCTCCCATGAACGGAAATCTCTAGATTATTTTCTTTTAACGTCTTGTGAAGATTCATTCACATCAACCCCTTGCTCCCGCACAGCGGGGACCCCTGAGAATCCCGTGACTTTGAAGGGGCCCCGAATTATCCTGTTCATGTGATACCGCACAGGAACACTAGGGGGCGCCAACCTACATATAATCCTGTGTCCGGACCACACTGTGTCTCCGCCGTTCTCAAAGGGTGGTCCTCGGCCAGCGGCAGTGGCATCACCTGGGTACTCATCGGACCTGGAAAATCTCAGGCCGCACCCCAGACCTACTGAATCAGAAGCGATTAGCAGTCGGTGTTTAACACTCCCACCACCCCCGTGTCGGTGATGCTGACGCAGCCTGGAATTGGGACCCATGGATGCATTAACGTCTCGTCCTTGGGGCGTTCTTCTCCCCTCTCTGCTCCCAGCCTCTGTGCAGCAGCCCTGTGACCGTGAGGGGAGGGAAAAGCTCCCGGTCTTGGTGGAGAAGCGGCTGCTCCGCGGGCTCCCCTGGGATGCAGCATAATGCTTATTCGTGTTAGGGTTTCAAATGCTCTTTAGTGGAAGAGGTGGGGATGGAGCAGAGCTCTCTGTCCACCCCCATCAACTGTCCTTTCTGCTCCAGTTCAGATGCCCAGTTTCTTCCAGCTGCTGGGCGACCTGCCTCTCAGGGAGCTGGGTTCCAATTCCCGCCCCACCCCCCAAAGGGTCAATCACCTCAACTAAAAAGCCCTGGTGACCAAGCTGGGTTACTCAGTTTATCACTCAGTATGGGGTTAGCATCACGAACAGGTGGTTCTGGGGCCCCTGTGCCTTTTTTATTTTTTATTTCTTTGGAAGCGACTCCAGGGTTCTGTGGCAGGCGCATGGGATGGTAGCGAGGGAGTGGGGAGAGATACTTTGGGGCAAGGAGCCTCTGGAGTAAGACCTATCCTGTGGACATGGTGAACGCTCCTGTTAAGGATTCATTCAGGAAGCCGGGGAGCGGAATGGTTAATTGTTACCACAGAGCAGAGAACATCTGTTCGTGGAATGTGTGTTTAACTGTGGCTTATTCCAGTCATCTCTCTTCTGGGAAAGGCATTGGCCAAAGAGGCTCAATTTCGTGGAGAGCCGGTTTCCTTTGCCAGACAAAAGCCAAGTCTCACAATGGCTGGCCCTACTGTAAAGGATAATTTAGTTAATTAGCTAAACAATAGACCCTGACCCTCAGCTTGCAATGAAGGCTTTCCTAACTGAATCTCTTTTCCTCATATCTTTCTCAGAAAGAGAAGAGGAGACGATTCCCGTGATCATCTCCCCCCACCAGACCATCTCAGCTTCGCTGGGTAAGGACCGTGTAACCCACCTGGGTGGCTGCAGTCCCAAAGCTGGGGCCCCAGGACCCCTGTGTCACCGACTGTGCCTGCCGTGGGGTTTGCAGTTCCCCCTACCCCAGCGGGAAATAGCAAATGAGAGGGAACATTTCCCTTTACCAAATACCGTCAGTAATGGCATTATCTGAAAACATGTACACTTTGCTTCTTGAAAACCCTGCCTACAAAAATCTCAGTGCAAAAATCGGAACGTTCTAGTAGCTGTTGTTAACTGCATGAAAGGATTAAGGCATGATGCCCCAGAAAGTCAGCACCTGTAGTGTATTTAAAATAATTCACTTTACCAATACTTGGCTGACGCTCAGCATTTCCCCAAGACTCCGACTCTGCCCCTGCTGGTTCCCCCAGAGACAGTTTCTTATCACCAAAATAGCTGGTCAGCGGGTCAAGGGAGTTAATGAAAATGCATGACAGAGGTTTTCACCATTTTTCACCATCCTGGCCAGCACGCACTTTCTTATTGAGCACAGCTAAGTCTGATAAGATGCCATTCAGGGCTTCCCTGGTGGCGCAGTGGTTGAGAGTCCGCCTGCCGATGCAGGGGACGCGGGTTCGTGCCCCGGTCCGGGAAGATCCCACATGCCGCAGAGCGGCTGGGCCCGTGAGCCATGGCCGCTGAGCCTGCGCGTCCGGAGCCTGTGCTCCGCAACGGGAGAGGCCCTGGCAGTGAGAGGCCCGCGTATCACACACAAAAAAAGATGCCATTCAATGCCAACATCAACCCTGTGGGGAGGTCTTATTTCTCCAAATTTCCAGAAGGAAAAGCTGCCCAGGGGGTCACTGGCTCAGTATCTGTCAAAAAGCCATAGTCGGGTCTGGCTGGGGTTCAGACGCAGGCCTGTGTGTCTGTGAGGCCTGTACCTTTTCTGTATGTCTGTTTTTATATAGTGGTTTTGTAGGTCTTATGCTCATTTATTAAACCCTGGCTGCAGAGTCCTGTCTATCTACATATCATCTATCTATCTATCTATTATCTATCTAACCACCCATCTATCCATCTATCATCTATTATCTATCTGTTATCTACCTCCCTCCCTCCCTCTTTTGTCTGGTGTTTGGGCTTACATTTTTAACTTTTATTGGTGGTCATGGAGAAGGAGGGCTTTTGCACAGACGCCGGGATTGCTGCCTGACACCTGAGTTGCAGCTCCCAACAGCTGCCTTGGCTCTCAGAGGGGCCTCCTGGAAGCTTGGGGAAGTGGGGACCCGGGTTAGCGCTGACTAGCGCCCCAGCGCCCCTGCTCCTCTGTGCTCCCCAGCCCAGTGGAGCTGAGTCTCCAGCCCCGTTGCTTTGCATATGCACTGATGTGTCTGGCAGAGTCATATGAGGCCAGAACGAGTGGGCTGTTTTTGGCTGAGAAATCTTTAAGGTCATAAGGGATGTGAAGGAGGAAGAAAAGTGGGCTTTCTGAGCCTGAAGTGGCCAGGTGCATTAAAGCACACACCCCAGGGAGGCACATTACCCACGAGAAATTTATTCCCCCTCCTCCCCTTTGGTGACTAAAAAAAAACCCAACATAGTGATTGAGGCAGGGGACCAAGGACCATCATATTGCACAACTGTAGAAGGCACCATTCATGTAAAACACAGTGGCTTTTGAAAGGATTAATCCTAAATGAGCATGACCAGGGATGGAGAGCTCCTAGGGGAAACAGGAGAACAGAGACCAGCAGTGGGCAAAGAGACAGAATCCTCTGGATCCTGGATCTGGAGTTCTGGAGGCAAGAAGAATAAACTGTGGGAAAAGGCAGCTCTGGAATTCAGAATGCTCCGTAGGAGCCGAGTGGCCTTGGGGGAGCCATTTGCCTCCGGGTTTCCATCTGCCCTGAGGACCAGTGCAAAGAGCTGGAGACCCTTGATAAATACTGATGCGCTAGGTGAATGGAATCGCTTGAGGGAACTAAGTCTCCTTCTAAGAAAAGAATTGGTGAGGGTGTCTGAAAAAAGGGGGGAAGATCCACCGCTCAGATCTGCTGATGTGACCCCGTCCCCTGGCTGGGTTCTGACATTTGATGTGCTGCGTCTTGCCGTCACAGGGTCAAGACTGACAATCCCGTGTAAGGTGTTTCTGGGAGCTGGCATACAGGCGACCACCTTGCTGTGGTGGACTGCCAACAACACACACGTAGAGGATGCCTACAAGGGGGGCCGCGTGACCGAGGGGCAGCGCCAGTAAGTGGGGGAAGATCTTCCTCATCCCCTGGGCAGAGCTGTTGTGAACCCCCTGTAGACTCCACTTCCTTGTAGAGACAATGTCCTAGCCAACCCATCAATATGACACACACACCACATTACAAATATATATTTTTTATTCTACTCCGTTGGATTTTTAGAATCTTAAGCATTGGGTTTTGCTAAGTATCACCAACTGTTCTTGAGAATCAAGCCTTCTCTCTAAATCTATGAGCTGCAGCCTACTACTTGACATTGGTGTTGCCTCTTCTAGCTGTTTAATTAGATCTTTCTTCCTTGAGCATTGCAGAGTCAAACATTCACAGCCCTTAAAACGACTCTGAAACTTAGCCACGGGATCCGAGAGCCGCCTCTACTTCCTTCCAGTCTCTAAGGAAGGTTACTCTGAAAGAAAGCGAGGATTCTGTCCTCATAAGCCTTCATCTCCGGGAAATATTTTCTCACTCTGAAAGTAGAACAATCAGGCCTTGTAAATGGAAACCATTTTCATGTGAGGAGGCAGACCCTTCAATGTTCCAAATTATAAAGTGTTTTTAAAATCAAAGTTTCAGTACTCTGAAGTTGCCTGAACTTTTGCTGGCCCCCAATTTTTGTCTTTTTGTCTTTTTGGAAAGGCCTATCAAAAAAGGTCTTTCTGGATGCAATTTAGTGGATAGAAATTATGTGTGGTTAGTGCAACTGTTTGCTTGCAAATCCTCGTTGTGAAAAGCTTGGGCAGAACCCACATGCCGCATGTCAGCTTACTCATACTACCTGTTTGCTTAAAGGAGCCTATTTTCCCCCCATAGATTAAAAAAAAAATAGTCCTAGTGGATCCACATCCATGATATTTTTATTCATACTAACAGATCGTAGTGAAGCATCTTCGGATTCCTGCAACATTGCAAATGGCAGTGCTGTTGATTAGAGACCCCTCCACTGCGGCGCATCTACAGCCCTCGGATCTGCACTTGAGCTTCTAGAGTGAGGGTTGGCAGTGAGTAGGCATGAGAGTAGACACCGTGGAGGACGGGATTCTTGGAAACTCCCTGCCCTCCAATATGCAAATGATTTCTTGGTGATACAGTCCAATTTCCCAAAACTAGACATTTCTATTCCTACTACTGGTTCTTTGTTCATCAAGGGCCTTAAAAAGTGATTTCTCCCCCATTATCCAAACTAAACTGGCTTCTGCAAGCTCCTTGTTACAAGTAACCTATCACAGTGACCAGCATCTTCAGGGTCCCGCTCACCTTCAGGAACAGGCTTAGAAATTCTCCCAAATATGTAACAAATATAATGGCAAGTGCCTCTAACTTGGTAAATCATGACATCAATTTAAGCACAGTGGGGCCTTGAGAATGTGTAGGTGTCTATGTTGAAAAGACACTTTATGTTTAACTAAGTGTTTTCTCACTTAGGGAATACTCAGAAAATAATGAGAATTACATTGAAGTGCCACTGATTTTTGATCCAGTCGTAAGAGAGGATTTGCACACGGATTTTAAATGTGTTGTCCGTAATACAATGAGTTTCCAGATGCTTCGTACCACAGTCAAAGAAGGTATGGATTTGGGGGACATTAAAGGGAAAAACTATGTGTTGGATGCTCTGTGGATGTTAAATAAAGCTCCTGACGCGCTGGGTGATTACTTAGGAGGGCCCGTGAGTTTCCCGTTAGCGGAGCACAGAAAGCAAATCTCTCATTTTTTATGACTTTTTTGGTAGGGTGGAGGCTGCCACCTCACGGGCTCCAGAGCGCAGGCTCGGAGATTGTACTCAAAGAAAAATTTAAAGAGGAAGCTGAGGGCTTCCCTAGTGGCGCAGTGGTTGAGAGTCTGCCTGCCGATGCAGGAGATGTGGGTTCGTGCCCCGGTCCGGGAGGATCCCACATGCCGTGGAGTGGCTGGGCCCGTGAGCCATGGCCGCTGAGCCTGCGCGTCCGGAGCCTGTGCTCTGCAACGGGAGAAGCCACAACAGTGAGAGGCCCGCGTACCGCAAAAAACAAAACAAAACAAAGAGGAAGCTGATTTTTTTAGAAAAAAGATAAAATGGTTCTGCGATAGATTTAAAAAAACCCCACGTCCTCTAGTGGTTCTGCCTGCATCGGCAGGACCAGCTCTGCTTTCATGACCCCTCAAGGAGGGTGGGATGCTTTCTATCCCGAGGTTGAGAGATTTCATCCTCCAAGAGCTGGGAACTGGAAGGTACGCAGGGCTCAGGCAGCTTCAGAGTTAAAGACATCAGTCATCAGGAGATAACGTATAAGGCTGTAGCCAAACCAACGCAGTGCTCACGGAAGGACATTTACAAAAGAAAAGAAAAACCTGACTTACCATTTTGACAAATGGATTTCTTCTCAGTGTTTGAGCGCTGAGCAGGAAAGGGAGACGTGGGTGATGTAGTCTGTCGACAGCCCGAAGGATAAGAAGGGAAGAGACAAAGCGATCCCTACCAGGAGCCTAACCCTGCCTCCTGGGCAGTCTGCACAATCAATAAACACAAACTGCCCCACATATTCCGTGTTTGCAGGGGAGGCAGCTGCAGACGAGCTTCTAATTGGAAAGCTGAGAATTTGTGTAAGCCTCAGGGCAGGAACGACAGCACAATATAACTTCTCTCCAACTGTGGTCCATGCATACCAGCATCCCTGACTTGAGCCACTAGTTGAAAATGCAGATTCCTAGGCTCACCCCCAGATCTACCCGGTCAGATTCTCTGGGGTGAGGCCAAAGACTGCAATTTAGCAAGCTCCTTTCATGTTAAAGTTTGAGAACCGTTGCCCTAGGACACACGCAAAGGCTGACGTCCCAGATCATTTCCATGAGCGGGTTGTTGGTGGTACAAACTTGGAAGTGGAGGATTCCACAGAAAGTGGGATCCACTGCTGGGCTTCAGAATAGTGACCCAAAGGAAGCCATGGTTTGTCTGCTCCTGATGCTGGGAACCTGCAAACATTTCTAAGACGTGAGCCCTGACCCTGCCTGTCCTTCGCTGGGTCGGCCATGACTGATCACAGAGGGCACAGGTCAAAGCCTTTCACCAGGGCTGAGAGGTGCCTCCAAATGGCTGCTCCGAAAGTGAAAGCTTCACTCGTTTCTAAGCCTTGAGGGATTTTAAGGTGTAAGAATCATCTGGAGAAATTGTCTGAGATTGTGTCGATTCCTGAACGCCTGCACAGACTAAGATAAATAGTAGCTTAAAAATGTAGAATTCTAGCCTCATCATCCATGCGCTTGTTAACTTTTTTTAATTTAATTTTTATTAGATATTAGAGTATAGTTTATTTACAACGTTCGGTTAGTTTCAAGTGTACAGCAAAGTGAATCAGTTATACATATACATATATCTGCTCCTTTTCAGATTCTTTTCCCTTATAGGTTATTACAGAATATTGAGCAGAGTTCCCTGTGCTATACAGTAGGTCCTTGTTGGTTACCTGTTTTATATATAGTAGTGTGAATATGTCAGTCCCAAACTCCTAATTTATCCCTCCTCCTCAACACTTGTTAACTTTTTATCCATACTTCCTATATTTTCTAAGATAAATTAGTTTTTAAATTTATCTTATTTTTGGCTGGGTTAGGTCTCCTTGTTGCTGCACGCAGGCTTTCTCTAGTTGCAGTGAGCAGGGGCTAGTCTTCTTTGCGGTGCACGGGCTTCTCATTGCGGTGGCTTCTCTTGTTGCGGTGCACGGGCTCTAGGCACGTGGGCTTCAGTAGTTGTGGCGTGCGGGCTCAGTAGTTGCGGCTCACGGGCTCCACAGCGCAGGCTCAGTAGTTGTGGTGCACGGGCTTAGTTGCTTCGCGGCACGTGGGATCTTCCCGGACCAGGGATCGAACCCGTGTCCCGTGCACTGGCAGGCGGATTCTTAACCACTGCGCCACCAGGGATTGCTTCTTATATTTTCATAACACAGAGATGCCAAGGAGTAGAATATAAAATAGCTGGATCCAAGCGATAATCTTGACACCTAAAGCCCCTTTATTCAAAGTTTTTCTTTTCCTTTGTTACTTTACTGACTCCTCATGACACCCATGCTCATGGAAAGGGGCAAATTATGTGCTGGCCACGTCACAGTCAGCTAGCAGAGACCTAGACAGGCATCTTATTGCACACAGCCCAACAGGTAGAGCAAAATTAGACCATCGACACCTGCCCACCCCCCCAACTCTGCGTTGCTTCTCTCCGATGGATATTTGTTCTACCTTGCTTGTTTGCCTAACGCCACAGATATCATTCTCAAGTATCCTTGATCTTAGTGTAAGACATACTTTCTGAAAATCAGTACCTGTTTATTAGAAGTGACAAACACCACTTCCTTCTCTGTACAGTGCACGGCAATGTCCTATTTGGTAGTAGGAGCGTGTTCACCCCTCACATGTCTGTTCTTCCTACAGCTGCCACGTTCTCCTGGGAGATTACACTGGCCCCCCTTTCCCTCATCTTCTTGGTTTTGGGGGGAATATGGATGCACAGACGGTGTAAACGCAGAACTGGAAAAGCCTATGATTTGATGATGGAGTTAAAGACCAGCCACCAGATTCTCAATCCTATCCGAGTAAAATAAAGTAAATAAAATATTTCAAGTCGAACGATGTCCTTTCTTCCGCAAGCAGCCCTGGTTTTTGAGGGACACTGTTCTTTTCCTCAGTTGTTTAACAGAGCTGCTGTGTTTATAGTGGGTTTGTAGTAAAAGACTGAAGTGGACATGTAAAGTTTATTCTGCAACTGAATCACGGGGGCCAATGTGCACATGGGTGGGCTTGAGGTGCTCTTTGAATAAGAGGTGAAAACACCTAAATGAGTTTTGGAATTCATTCATTCATTTCACAAAAATGTGTTAAAAGTCTACTTTAGCTATGCTCTATGGCAGGTGTTATAGATACAAAGATAAAGACATGGTTTTCCTTTCGGGAAGGTGGAATTTCATGTTGAAACTGGAAAGGATGGTTTAGAAATACTAAAGAAGAGTCAGCAAGAATTGGTAAATGCTTTTTAAAAGGACGATCCAAAAAATAGTAATTCAAATAGATGGTCAGAAAAATACGTTAGAACATACTAGCAGACTGAGAAATGGATTCGCCTTCATAATGAAACTTCTGAAAATAAAGAGAATGGAAGAGTATTGAGATAATTGCATACACATTGAGAAAAAAGTAATCAGAGCCTCTTTTATGTAATATGCCAAAACTAAATTCCAGCTAAATTAATGAGTTAAATTTAAAAAATCAAATGGCAGGAAAATTGGCATGACTCACTCCTTCACCTATTCAAGTCTTTGTTCAAATGTGACCTTCCCAGAGGCCCTTATGAGTCCCTTTCCAACCCTCTCTGTTCCCCCCAACTCTGCTTTGTGTCATTATAGCTCTTATCACCACCAGACCTTCCATTATATATTTGCTTGTTTATTTTCTGTTTTCCCCACCAGAATGGGAGCTCCTTGAGGGCAGAGATGTTATTTTGGTCACAGCCGTATCCTCAGTACCTCAAATCAAGCCTGTCATCCACTGGACATTTAATAATTATTTGTAGAATAGACGAAAACAGGATGAATTCTCTTGTGTTCACTAGCAATAAAAGTATCACCAGAGTAAAGATGGACAGGGTTCATTATGTTACAATTTCTGCACAGAAAAATAAAATAATAAAAGCAACACATCAAAGAAATTGTGTCAAGCAAGGTCAAGGCATTAATAACTATAACAAAGTTATTGAAGGTTTTTTTTTTTTTGCGGCACGCGGGCCTCTCACTGTTGTGGCCTCTCCCGTTGCGGAGCACAGGCTCCGGACGTGCAGGCTCAGTGGCCATGGCTCACGGACCCAGCTGCTCCGCGGCATGTGGGATCTTCCCAGACCGGGGCACGAACCCGCGTCCCCGGCATCGGCAGGCGGACTCTCCACCACCGCGCCACCAGGGAAGCCCTACTCAAGGTTTTAAGAAAGGCATCAGAACCAAACAGATGGAAGAACATGGGTAGGGAATTGGGAGAAGAAACACCAAGGAACCGTGGTTTCAGTAATAATCAGAGATATCAATTAAACAACATTGAGATACCTAAGCACTCACATACTCTCCAGTGTTAAAAGGTGATACCAAGGTCATTACAAAACAGTCACCCTCACTCCCTATGATCCCATGTATACACACACTGGGAGGTGACAGGCACATATGCGAAGCCGGTGGGGTGCGGGGACCAGCTGGCCCCTTAAAGAGCCGAGTGTGGCATCTCTTCCCGACTCTGTTGAGTGGTGTCATGCCGCAGCTTAAAGTCAGCTGTTGTGGGAGTATTTTACACCACCGAAATCGGCAAATGCCCAAGTCTCCCCTTTGCGGTACCCCACTACAAGCGTCGCAGCGATGCCCAGCACTGCTACTCCTGGGGATTTAGGACCTGATTCAATAAAAGGTGATGATTAGACATGTGAAAGAGTTCAGTGAAACTTATCCCCCGGTGATGAGAAATTATGATCAGCTGTAAGTGATAATTATCAAGCTTGTGAGACCAGAATATTTGTAATGTTAAGGAAAGCTTTTTATATACAAAACAACAATTGTTTTATACAATTGTTGGGCTGCACCCCACAGGCCTACAAGCCCTGTAATTGCCCAGCCTCGAGACCCAAGAAAGCCCGGAGACAGCGACAGAGACATCAGTGGTTTGTTGGACGGGGGATCTTACACATCGGAAGCAAAGGGTCCTGGAGCGACACCCACCACGGATGGCAGATGGCACATAGGACACGGCAACTGTCTTCCTTGCTCCGGGGAGAAAGAAGGAGGCTACAAGTTATAGAGAGAATTGATGTTAGGGAGGCTCATCGGTTACCAGGGAAACCAGCCTCCGGGGCATGGCCCTCCAGCCCTCAGGTTAAAGTTGTTTCCCTTTAATAAACTAGCAGGTGGAGCCATTCTGGCCTAAGGATTAGAACCATAGCTAGCTGGAGCAGAGGGCAAGCATGTTGATGTCAGTCGGGTGTAGGTGAGGCAGGGGCTACATGAGCAGCGGTGGAGGCAGTGCCGGGTGGTGCCTCCGTGATCCTGGACATGTCCTTTCATCTTGTGGAGGGTCAGTCTTCTCATCTGAAAAATGGGGATAATAACAGGACTGATCCTGGAGTGCCAGCTCTTTAATAATCAAAAACCATAGGAGCGGGAATTCCCTGGAGGTCCAGTGGTTAGGACTCTGTGCTCTCACTGCCGTGGGTCCGTGTTCGATCCCTGGTCGGGGAACTAAGATCTTACAAGCTGCACGGCGCCCCACCCAAGGAAAAAATAGGAGGAATAGACAGAAATAAATATAGTGGTATTGTTTAGACCAAAGGTCAACAAACTAGTTTTCTGGCAAAATCCAGCCTGGCCTCTGTTTCTATAAATTAAGTTTTATCAGGACACAGCCAGGCCTGTCTGTTTACACACCGTCCACGGCTGCTCTGGCCCTCGGCAGGCAGAGCTGAGTAGTGGGGCCATGGCTGGAGTATTAACCTCTGGCCCTTTACAGAAAAGGTGTGCTGACAGCTGGTCTAGACAAGGAAATTACGGGCGGTTTTGGCCCTTAATGTTTGTATTCCCTGTTATTATCTTCTCTCCTCTTTTTGCCTGTTTTCCAAGCAGATGAGAGAAGGAAGTAAGAAGGGGCAGACAGAGGCCTTTTAGCATCAATCAGGAACTTTAATGGGAAGGAATGGAAAGCAATGTTGGAGATGGAGGACAGCTGGGGGCTTTGTGAATAGCCGCTCCAGGTGCTTCTCCCTTGCTGGGTCTTCAGGCTCGGGTGTCACGGGGCGTTCACCTCGCGGCGTTCACCTCGCGGCGTTCACCTCGCGGCGTTCACCTCGCGGCGTTCACCTCGCTTCTTTCCTGGGACCCGTCTTCCAGGGCTCTTCGCCCCTCCTTCAGATTTGGGCGGCTTCATCCATGACCCAGAAAAGAGGTTGACTGCGGCCAGGAGAGCAGCCCCTGCCTCCAGACCCCACCTGGCTGCTGGCTTACGGATTTCCTCCCGGGGATTTGGAGCATGGGCCCCACCGTCAGAAAAAGTAGGAGACAGTCGGGGAATCTGGGGCACTGATTTGTGATACTGTCGCAGAATAAGTGTGATACCGGGATGGTTACATTTTGAAAGAAGAGTCTTTATCTTTCTAAGAGACACATGGAGATACTGATGGACAGGGTTGAGATTTGCTTCACAGTAATCCAGTGCTGGGGGGAATGTGGGTGAAATAAGATCGGCCGTGTACTGATCATTGTTGCTAACACCGGTCATGGCGCGTGGGGCGTTCCTTACACCAATCTCTATTTTTGAGTACGTTTAAAAATTTCCATGATACAAGGTAAAAACCAACACACAGAAACAACCCAAATACCCACTAGACAAGACAATGGGTACGTAAATGTCCTAGCACAGTGGAAGCTTCTACAACAGTGAAAATGAATAAACTACAGCTACATAATGTGGATGAATCTTAGAAATATATTATTGAGTAAATAGCAAGTCCCAGAAACAGTGATTTATAGCATGATGCTCTTTTATATAAAGTGAAAAACAAGTAAAACTAAACTCTCTAAACACATACATGTACATACATTAACATATACATATTTAAGAACACATACGTGATAAAACCATATTTTAACTGTATGTGGATGTATGTATCTATAATTAGAAAGCACATATGTGATTTTAAGGGTTTAAAAGCACCTATATTTTAAGAAAGGAGAATGAGAAACCGAAGTTTCAGTGAATTCATCAGGTGACAGGTGGGACCAGGGTTGAGAGGACTGAGGAAGATGTAAGTTTCCTCAGGTTCTGGATCTCATGTTGGGTGGTGGATTATTACCATTTTTATCAAACACTGAGAAACAGGGCCACTTAAGGGTATGTGTATTGAACCAAGGATTCTGATAAATCTAATTCCGTGTGCCCAAGTACAAATTAAACAACAAAAAGAAACAAGATGGTTCCTTTCCTTAATGTGGCTGGTCTCATCCATTTTATGTTGATTCTGTCGGTTTAACCCTCCGAAGGTGAATTTTTTCACCTCCTCCTACAAAATTGAGGGGTGGGGATGGGCAGTAAAGAGCACCTTTGTTGCCCATAGGAAAAGCAATCCCGATGTCATCATATACCACCTGCCCAAGAACTGACTGAGGATGGCGGTGGACACCAGGAACAGGTACCAACAATAATTTATGCATGAAAAACTAAATTTGATGTCTCAAGTATTTCATACACGATAGGAACAGATGGGTGCTTCTCGGAGAAGGTGGGCTTGTCTATCTACCGTGAGACCTTTCAGGGCAGGAGCATTCTTGCTCATGACGCGTCCCCAGCACCTGTAGGTACCTAGGAAGTGCCTGCTGAGGTGATGGATAAATTGTGTGTTACCTGGGTTTTGGGGGACTCGCCAGCCTGTGTGAACAAACGGGACGCCATTAGTGGGACCTTTCAAGTTTCCCTTTCCTGCCCCTCCTCCCAGACTCTCACTGGTCATTTCCATGACTCCAGCCAGGAGCTCACTCGGACGTGACACGGGCCTCGTGCTTTTGTGGTTGCTTTCCTGTTCTTGTCATCCCACCATCCC